AGCAATAATAAATTATAAGGCTGAATCAAAAGCATATTATGCCTCAGTTAAGATCCCAGATAATTCAATCATTTAAAATCCATTCAGATAAAATACATTTAACTTTATAATATTTTTTTATACATATAATTCAGTGTATACTCATATAATGTATGCCGGATAACTATCAAACTATTATACACTCATTGCCTTATTTTGAATAACATTCTGTTACTAATATAGAATACAGGTATATGTATACTTTGAGTATAAAATTAAATTAATATATAATAGAATTATTGGATTATGTATGCACTATTACTGCAATTTTGAACTTAGGGATACTTTATGTTTAAGCATGATGTTTTATGAATATTATTTGCTAAATTATATTATATACTATAGGTTTTATGCTAAGTAGTTTTAGTTTTGTAATTGAATTACTATATACATAAAACGAACGTATGCTAGCTTGATAACAGTTGTATACATATAGATAGATTTCACATACATGTATGATATGATTTTATTTAGAACATTAGATTATATATAGGAATTATAATATGCGAAATGTGTGAAGTGCTTTCGAAATTCAACTTGAAGGGATTAATATGGGTACTTATAATATATCCTTGAACTATTGAATTAAAATTTTTTGATAACATCAAATATAAATATATATTGATAAAATATAATATTGGAACTTTGAAAAATCTACTTTAACTTAATATTTTTTTGAATATTTTAATAATGAACTTTAAAATATTTTTGAACCATTATACTCGTATAATTGTAAATTATATTAAGTCTAACACTTATTATTTCTCTACCATTTTCTGTTCCTTTTCCATCAAATGATGATGATTTTACTGAACAATTTGATAACCGCAATTTGTACGACTAAATGATGATTGTTTAGGCTCTTTCGTGCAATATTACTCTGTATCATAATATTGATACTTGGAATAAGCAATTCGTTTGATAATAAGTGAATATTCAATTTTGCTCAGGGAAAGTTTACTCGAATTATTTTTATAATTATATACGAATAGATTTATTTTGTTTTATTAGTTCATATTAATACTCTATTGGAATACAATTCAGAAATTACAACTTATAAGCTGAATTTTGTGTCAGTAACTTAGCATAACTTAAATTTTTCGATGTCAGATGTAGTACACCCTATATATAGATGAAATAAATATCCGCCAAAATGAATAGATATTTGAATTTTAATATTTTTGCATGGGAAACAAAAACTATGTTATAATTTTTTTTTATCTATAATGAAATACGTAGATATAGTTTATGTAAAATTCTTATCTAAAAAATATTTACGTTAAAATTTAGTTCATTAATTAAAAAAAAAAAAAACAAGAAAAAACGTAGGTACTTCACGTTTATTATGAGATAAGTTACAATGTGTATGTTTATGTTGACTAATTTATAGAAAAAAAACAACACCGAAAAGAAAAAAACAACCGATCGTGTATTTTGTTTACAGTATTAAAACAAGGTCATTAAATTCACATACATATTTCATATATGTATCTATATACATACTTGTAATGTGATTTTGTTTTCTATTATAATTAATTATATCATTTGTAGTATATGTGTTATACGCAAAAACTGTTATACACATAAAGTGTTATATTGTTCCTGAATTTTCTGCGACCTTACATAAAATCCTATCTAATGCCTTTTGTTGCAAGTCTTTAGCCCTTCTAAAAGCCCCCGTACTTTTTCATGGCTCAGAAGTAGTAGCTGTTATAATGTAATATTAGTATTTGTTATATTATAATATTATTGGGAATTCAACGTTTATTTTTCATAAACTGGTCTTATGGAAATCTAAACGAATTAGATATGGGAAGTTTAAACTCCCCTTTATATGAAGTTGATGTAATTGGAGGTTTCATACAAATTCATGCATGTTCTGAGACCCTATACGCAAAACCTGCAAGTATCGGTACTTTTTCACAACTCAGAAGTAACAACTGTTATATTGTAATATTAATATTTGTTATATTATAATATTAATGCTATAATATAATGTTATTATATAATGCTATGAGGAACTCAGTGTTTATTTTTTTCATTATACAAGTTTATTTAAACAGATTTGGTACGGAAAATTTTAACTACCTTTATGTATTTGTACTGATATAGTTAAAAGTGTAATGCACATTACTTTTATTTACAACAAAATTTTTAAGCTGTTACACTGAAAGAATAACTAATGAAAATTTCTTTATACAACTGCAGAACAGATGGATGACATAATCAAAAGTGGGGGTCGGGTAAGAAAAATTATTAAAAAATTTATTAAAAAATTTTTCTGCTCGAATTGGACTCGGATTAGTGATCTATTGCTTTCTTAGTAGACGCTCTGCCAACTGAGCTAAAGAGATATGAAGAAATTATGGGCAAATTGTTATGCGTTACACCGTAATCTTATGATTATTAAATATTGTTTAGTTAAGATGTTTGATTACGTCATCCATCTGTTCTGCAGTTGTTTAAAGAAATTTTCATTTCTTCCATACAAGAATCAATAATAAAAAATTATAAACAACTAGCCGTTGTATTCGTAATTACTAATATTGTTACACTGTTTTGTTCTATTATCATTTATAATTTTCATTTAGCGGTATATAGTGAATAATTTCTTTCAGAACTATAATTCCCTTCATATACATAATATTATGTCTCTCTGCCTTCGGACATTTTGTTTCAATTTCAATTGAATACGCAATATTTACATAATTCAGCTTATTAGTTGTAATTGCTGAATTGAGTGACAATATACAGTAGCACCGTAATTTTAAATTTACAGTTAATTCATGGTGACATTTTTAACTCATTCTAGTGCAAAATATTATGTCAATATACAAATATACTCTGACTTCAAAATTTCAGTAATAAAATATTTATACAAAATTCAACTTATGAGTTCTAATTGTTGAATTATGTATTTATACCGTATTATACAATTGTGAAATCAAGCATAATAACATATTACTGAATATACATAGGTACAGTGTCGCAGTTATTTATAGCCATATGAATATTAAACTTTACATTTGTATTCCGGTAGATGCCTTCAATTTTAGTTAGAAATGAAACTCTGATTTTATTTTATTTTTATATAGTTTACAATTGCTTACGAGCGAATTTAAGACGTCATAAGGGAAAACTATTACCAAGAAATTCCTTGTTTCGTCCTTTTTGTATGTATAAAAAATTTAAAAGAATATTGTATAAATATTTTAATTTTACAACGTCGTAAGCTGAATTATAGAATATAGTGGAGCTTATTTAGAGTATCGACTCATTAAATTTACGTTAGTGATATTTATCGTAAGTTCAAAAACTTTCGATGTACAGTAATATCGAACTTTTTACGATATTAATTATCACTATCACTTAGTGATTCGATACTCAGAATAAGCCCTAGTGTTTTTCATAAAGATATCTTACCTCGAATCATTATGTGAATTGTTTTGTATTTATAATATTTGAAATAACTGCTGGCAAATGTTACTCTATATCACTCTTACATAAAGTGATCTCCGTCTCGAAATAAGTACCCCAAAATATTCCGGCAATTAGTTTCACAATAATTCCGGCATCACGTTATGTGTATATTTTTAATATATATGTATATACAACAAGAAAAACAGCCATTTTTTTATGTAGAATATCAATAAATTTTTTTTCTTTTTAGCACTTTTCCAAAAAATTAAAAAAAAAAGTGCTTATTAGTTTCAATGTCTCCGTCCGTCCATTCGTAAAAATGTTAACAAAAACATACCATTAAAATGTTATTTTTTTTCTTAACTGACGCAATTAGGTTTTGAATTCGTGCATTATGTTTACACTTTTTCTCATCTTTTCTTTTGTATCATCCAAAATATATGCAATCTATGAAATATTTTTAAAAGTAGTACATATTATTTTAATTTGCTGAAGGGAAAAGTGCTACTTTACAAACCATTATTTTTATTTTATTTTTTTAATTTTTATATATTTTGAATTTTCAAATTACAAACGCATTAAATAAAGTTATTTTTATACAAAGCATGTGTTTTTTATACTCATATGTGTGTGAGCGAGTTTGTATATATGTATATATTATGCACACATACAAAAATATTTAAATATATTATACACAATATGTGTATTTATATGTCAAGGAAAGAGAAAGTGAAATTTTTCATGTGTTTTTTTAATGTTTATACTTAACAAAAGACAACAATGATATGCTTGCAAAGTGCTGGATACGACGTTGGCTGGAGTTTTTCAAAAATTTATTTTTACTTTGTAATCTTATGATGTAGCGTTAAGAATTTTTTATTTTTTGAATGGAGAATTTATTTTTAGAATTTTGAAAGAAATAAATAAATTTTTTTCTTAAATGTGTCTTTGTATTTTGTTTGAATTTGAATCTTTTTAATTTTTTTTTATTCTGTATATTTTTGGAATAAAACTAAATAAGTATAACAGTAATATATGGAATTTGAAATATTATCGTTGACTGATATTGTTACTGCTATTTAGCAATGAAGAGCATTTTTTTAATATTTTGACCTAAAAGTTGAGAATTTTAAAATTATGTAATTGAATTTAAATGTAATTACGGGTTTTTATCCGCTATATCATCCCCCTTGAATTCAAAGATATTGACCAAGAAAAAACAGCGGATTATATACATATATATGAAAATCTACAATATGTTGGTTCATTTTTCGCATCATATAACTTATGGATCATTTAACAAGTTGTAGACAGTTTGTATATGGTATACGTTATAGAGAGAAAATTGCCAACACTGTAACTTGGACTTTTGTGTGCGTGCAAACTAATATTACACTTTTTGTTAATATAGTGTAATATTTAGTTTTATAAGCAGAATTGTATTAAGTTTCATATTTTTTAATACCGTATTTTTTTTTATTTTTTTTTATATTTTTTTTTCTAAAAAAATTTAAATTTCATAATATTTTTATATTTTACAGGATAATGCATTACCTAAATGCACACCCACTAAAAATAATTTAACTTGCTGTGATGTTATAGTAAATGGTACAAATTGCCCAGGTGGTTTTACTTTCGATGAAGATGATGATAGAACAATTACAGTTGAGGTAAATTTCAAAATTATTTTGATATAGTTATATTGAAACAATTTCAACTCCTGATTTCAAAACTGTATTTGAGGTATTCATAGCTTATAAACTATAATATTGTTGAATTTTCTGTGTAATATTACACAATTATTAAAAAGTCAGGATTGTTACAAGCCTTGGCTTTCAAAATGCAGTAATGCCATTTCAATACATAATTCAGCAATTCACTCTTAAAAGCTTAGTTGTGTATTAATACCGTGTTACTGTATTTTGGAAAAGTTAAGGAATATAATATACTTACAATAATATGTGTGAAAAAATTATAATTCAATTGTACTATGTTTTTTTCTTATATATATATAGTGGTCTTTAGTATGTAATAATGAATTTCTTGCTCCATTAATAAATACTCTATATTTTGTTGGTGTTACAATTGGTTCGCTAGTATGCAGTACGCTTTGTGATTTATGGGGACGTAAAAAATTGGTATTAGCTTGTATGTATTTACAAGCTATTATGTCACTTGGTTTATATTTCTCAAGTAGTTTAATTGTTTTTGCAATATTTCGTGTTGCACAAGGATTTTTTATACAAGGATTACAAACATGCTCATATACATTAATGTTAGAATATTGTCCATCAAGAAAACGTACAGCTGCTGCTGTATTATGGGAATGTAATTGGGCAATAGGTTTAGGACTATTAGGTGGCATAGCATATTTTATACGTGATTGGAGAATTTTAACATTAGTTTTATTAACACCAACAGCATTAAGCTTATTATATTTTTGGTAAGTGTATAATTTTAAATGTGATTTCAAAAATTGTAGTAATATACGACAGTATTAAATACACAATTCAGTTAATGAATTAACATTTACTGAATTGTGTATACCAATTATCAGTATTATTGCAAATTTTAAAAATTGCGAAAAATTTTATTAATAATTATACATACATCTAATATAGGATTATACCAGAATCAGTATCATGGTTATATGCTAATGGAAGGCAACAAGAAGCCCTTGAAATAATTAAAGATATTGCAAAAAAAAATAAAAACTCACAATTATTAGAGAATTGTAATCGATTTAGTCCAAATGAAAAACCACTATTAGAAAAGAATGGTAGTAATATAGCCGGTGGTGGTGGATTAAATAATGATAATGAAGCCCATAATATGCTCAATTCACATGATAATGAAAGTATACATGAGCAAAAATTTAAAGTTAAAGATTTATTAAATAATCTTATAATTAGAAAACATTTATTAATTGTAATATGTATATGGTAAGTATCTACGACTCTAAAATTGCATTAAAATTGTATTAACACATAATCCAGCCATTTACAGTTAAAACGGTGAATTGTGTATTAATACCAATTATACTGCAATTAATCCGGTACCAGAGCTATATCATTTGTTTTCCTTTTTCTGCTTTTGTTTATATAAAATATAGGTTTTCTGTTACACTCTCATATTATGGTATCTTATATTTTCTACCAAATTTACCTGGATCACGTCATGTTAATTTCTTAATTGGTGCAGCCATTGAAGGTGCCGCTTATATATTAGCATATTTTGTATTATCTAAATTTGGTAGACGTCTACCAATGGCATTTTATCAGTATGCAAATGGTACATTAATTGTATTAATGGGTTTATTGGCATTAGCAGAACCAACTCCTGCATTAAGTAAGTTTATTCTTTTTTTTTTCATTATTCTTTTTCTATATAGCTCAGTCATCTCTTCTAACATTTTCCATACAATTGATTTTTTTCAATAATTTTTTTAATTATTTATTTTTTATAGAAACATTTTTAACTGTAATTGCATTAATTGGCAAAGGTTTAGCTGTATCGAGCTTTTGCAGTATGTTCATATATGGTAGTGAATTGTTTCCAACTGTTTGTCGTGGCATTAGTTTAGGTTTATGTGGTTTTGCAGCTAGATGTGGAAGTTTATTAGCCCCACAATTAATGTTTATGGTTACATTCGCCCCTGTTTATGTTCCAATGGTTATAATGGCAATTTTATTAACAATTAGTGGTACAGCAACATTATGGTTGCCAGAAACATTATCAACACAATTACCAAATACACTAGACGAAACAAACGAAGTATGGGGTAAAAAAAATAGAGGAAAATAAAACAAAAAAAAATTTTTATCCATTTAGTTTTAGAAAACAAAAAGAAAAAAAAAAACACCAAAAGAATAATAAAATAATATTTTTATTTTTAGTTTTCTTTTTTTTCTCTTTTTTTGTTTTATTTTTTATTATGTGATCACAACAAAACTTTTTAGTTCTATTTCTACTATTTCAAAATTATTAATTTAACACTCAAGAAAACGTGAGTACTAAGAGAAGAACGAAAAAAAAACTGATATGATCACCATCTGACCGACAGCTACGTGTAATATCTAGTTTAACGAAACTGTTACAGAAAATTATAAAAAGGCCTTTTAAGCTATTAGTTAACCTACCCAGAAGAATGTAAATTCGACTGTTAGTAATTAAAATATACAAAAATTTTTTATGCAAGTGCCATTATACAAACATGCATATTTAAAAATATTAAAAAGTGTTTTTAATTGCATTTAATAAAAGTTGGCTATCGCACAGTTTTATCAGACATTAATTTATTCAATACAAGATGAGGAACAACGACATTGACTGTCAAGACATTCTGATTATAAGATATTTGCTTCCAAAACATTCTGATAACAAAACTGCCAAGACTTTCACATAGTTAGACATTTACTGTCGCGACAGTTATAGTCACGACAGTGACTGTCATGCCAGTAGACATCATGTCAGATGCACGTAATTACTTTCCAGACATAATACAGTAAATATAAACATAATACATTTACTATATTATGTCTCGACATTACTATTGAGCAAAATAAATTTAGTGAGAAAATTTAATTTAGTTAGTTAAGCCTGTAGTATTATTCCTCCTAATACATTCAGTATTTAAAATACTTAAATTGAGTGTAGTTTTATATTATCATTATTTTTGTATAGTAAAGATTATTTGGTTCTTTGTTTTTTTTTATAATTAGCTAGTGAAAACAAAATTCTATTTGGAAAGAATAATGAAGATTTTTAAAATACAAAAAAACAAAAATATAATATGGTCAGATAGATTAGCTTGCCGAGAATTATTAGCTTGCCTGTTAAACACTTGTTTCCAATTTTAAGTCTAAAACACTATTAAAAGTTCTAGTAAGGTTTCCCTATAGAACTAAGTTTGCAATGATGTCACTGATGATTATAAGAGTCAGCACAATAGCTGCTACTATCAGCTTCAAAGTAGAAATATTTCATAGCATAATGTTTATAAAGACAAAGATTTGGGTAAGTAAAAGGGAAGTAAAGCCCAATATTTTATAAAGTATTACACTAAAGTTCAAATCCATTGGACAGTATGGATTTTTTTATCGTTTAATTTTTTTATCGTTTTTTATATCGTTTAATTTTTAACATCATGAAAATATTAAAAAAAAATTCTTTTTTGAATGCGAACTCTAGTGGTTGTATCTTACATTTTTCTCAGTCAATTTTATTATACTCTAGTGTTTAAAAACATAATTATTCTTATTTGAATTTATTGTATTAAGATATCGTACTTTTTATAAGAATTCACAATAGAGTAAAAAACTAAGTTATTCATATTTTCTTTTTAAAACTATTCAAAATAACAATTCAATTCACAATCTAATATTCACCACATTTCATATTTAGTGGTGAATAAGATAAATTTAGTAATGATCAAAACCAAAATTCAATATGTATGTATGTACTTATATGTAATAAGATTTTTATTAAAAATTTCAAAATAACCTGAACTAGATTATGTATGTATATAGAGTGTACAATACAATTTTGTTTAGTGAGAACACTGTAGTACAGGACATAACAATTAATAGTTTGAATATTTTCACATATATGGTTTTTCGGGTAGAGTTTTTGAATATTTCAAGTCATTCTAGAATCCGAAGGGCTTTAAATATTCGAAGTATTACATTTTGTTCACAGGTGAAGGGAACGCAAGCTTATAATTTGGACAGAACTCCTTCCTACATACCGTAGAATATGTGCAATACCTAATTATTAAGCAATATTATGTTTATCTATTATAATAAATTGTCGTGTTCCATTTTACTTTTTTTTGATATAGATAATTTGGTGGTAATTTTGCCCAGAATGGAGCAAAATTACCACCACGGATTTTACTGTTGCTGTTCACACAGGTTAAAATCTCGTTTCCCCGCTGAAGGTTTTTTTTAAACCATCTGTTTGTGTGCGGAAAACTATATACAAAATACTGAACATTTGATTTTGCTGTTCCGCTTTTTTTCTGGACTAACAACGGAAGTCGTCGGCCGTTGTCGATCACCACTTTCGTTTTGTTTTTACAATTATAACTTATTTCTGTAAGTGTAAGGGAAACTTTGTTGTTAAATTGAATATTTGCATAACAGAAGAGAGACACCATTTTCAACAGTTTTTTTACATTTTAATAAGTCATTGAAGAAAAAAATTTGGTATAAAATAACATTAGCAGCACTATATTTTTCTCAATAACCTCTAAACCAGATCAGTTAGCAGAAAATTAACATTTTTCAAAAATTAAAATTCCAAATTTTTTAACATTAAAGTTATGTGATTCCGAAATGTAAATAGATTATAGCTAATGTAGATATCCACGAGAAAGCTTTTCTTCTCAGTTTTGTAAATCATATTTAATAATACCCTTTGTTTTACAGAGGCCCAAAGGTATACTTAAAATTTCATAAAACAAAAAAAAACATAAGTCGAGATTGATTTTAAGCGCCTGTTACTCCGAACCTGTTGAACTGTGAACTCCATACAAAAGTCTCCATACAAAAGTTTTGTCTACTCATGACAGCCAAGCAATGCACTTTAATACAAGGTGGATCTGTAGAATAGAACGTGTGTATGACGAATATTTTATTTCAATAAGAATGTATTTTTTTTAGAAGGTTAGTATATTCATAAAAAATATATTAGACAGATGCTAGAGTAAAACGATATGACACACAGAACTGCAAGAAACTTCTGCAGTTTTGTTCTAAAATTTCAATTCATTTTCATTTCAAAACTCATTGATTGATTACTGCTGGTATATGAATGTATTTTTTTTTTTGTATTTTGCAAGTCAACGGCTTATTACCTCTTCTAATTTTTAAGTTTCCTCTCTTCATTAAATTTTATGTTTATGTACATAATGTACATACTTTATTTATGAACGTAAATGTAAATATGTACATATTTATGTGCATAATTACATATTAGTACGGGTAATTCTAGATGGGCTACCACGCCTCCCTCTCCCGCCTCCTTCTCTATAGTATATTTCCTTCCTTATATTTTATGTATTTGTCAAATTTATTATTTCTGTTTATATTTGATATACATATATAAAATATAAATTTCAATTTTAATTAAAAGGCAGAATTAAATCAGGACTTTCGCGTAATAAAATCGCGTTAAAATACATTTTTTTACAAGGATCTTTTAAACAATTTAAGGTATTATTTTATTTTTTATTTTCTTTTGTTTTTATTTCCTTTTGTTATTGTATATTTATGTTTTCTTTTGTTTTTAGTTAAATTTGTATTTATACAATATTTATATGTATATAAATATGTATATGTAAGGAAAATAAAGGAATTGAACAGCATGAAATTTATTAATTTTTTAAATAAATAAGAATAATAATAATAATAAGAAAAAGAAAAAACAATAATAATTTCAATTTTAAAATGAACATTAAAAATGTAACATATTCTTTAATGTGTATAATACATATATTATATACATACACAGACAGTGTATCCGAGAATCGATGATATTCGCGAAGCATGATATTCCCGGTGTATTCCCGAACACAGATTTTGAAAGAACGAAAAATCTTGAGTTCGATCTAAAAATTTCGCCTTATGTAAAAATGTTATTCCCGATAAGTAGCTTTTATGTAAAAAGAACTAGGTATTGGTTAGCTTCGTACAAATAAGAGTTAAAGGAATATTGCCTTTAAAACCATTGCCACAAAACCAAGACAAGAAAAACCAAATTTTATTGAATTATCAATAAGTGTTCCCTAATGTTTTTTGTTCGTCTCAACTTTTTGAGCAGGAAATATCAATGATTCTTGGGCACCTTGTATTTACATATATATCAAACTCATATACACAGAACAAGAAATAAACAATTTAAAATATATCGAATTACATACATACATACATTTGAAAAACATAAAAATTATTTATTGTTGTTTAAGAAAACAAAAGAAAATTTATTTTAAAATATTTTTTTTTCTTTTTTTTGCTTTAAATATTAAAATGAATCGACATTCACAATAATTTAAAAAAAAGTCGCCATATTATTAATTAAGAAATTGCAATAATTTTATATTTACATATTAATTAAAGAATTTTACATTCTAGGTATACTTACATATATTGGGGTTTATTATGACTGTCACTTAAAATATAAAACTAAATGTCATTTGAATGTCATTATGACTTCATTTTACTCTCAATATCGGGATAATTTTAGTTGTCACTAAGGGCTTGGCCGACAAGTAATTTCTATTTTTGCAACTACTGCTTGATTGCACGATTGTTGCGCGCACATTTAAGTAATTAAACTATTACGTTAAATCACAATAAAAAAATTACAAACTGTTTAAATATAAACCTATGGGAAACAAATAAGCAATTTAACAGTTGGAAAACTAAAAATTGCTTGTTTGCCTGGGAAAAATTCCTTGTCTAACTGGTGAGATTTAGTACTATTTTTTGAATAGTTAAAAATATTTATATAATTGCAAATGTGCGTGCGTGATCCATGAGTTAAATTTCGAAAAGTACATATTCTTTTTTTGTAATGTATTGGCATTATAAGTGGCTGTTATAGAATAAGAAAACTTTTATGTCACTATCACTGCGATAAATGAAACGGATCCTTAGAATGAGATTCATATTATTTTTTAAATTTTTTTTTTAATTTGACTTCGTACAAAACCAGAAATTGCAATATATTCCCAAACTCTAGTACAAAATGGCGACTATTACAATAGTTTCGAGTATATCAAAAATTTTAAAATTACTGAGGAAAATTTAATTATGACATTTAAAATTTAAATAAGATTTAATACTTACCAATCGTACTCATACAAAACCAAAAACGAAATAATAAAACAAAAGTATCCTATAGCTGTACGTGATTGTGTAATATAAAGTTTTTGTTTTAAGGAGAAAACAATAACAATAAGAAGCATAATAATTTTTACTAATTATTATTGACATTTGGCCTTTTTGTTTTTGTTTTTTTTTGTTTCTTATTCAATTTCTTAATATTTAAATAACAATCGAGCACAATAGCGAACGAAAAATAACAAAAGAATAAAACAGCAGAAAGTTAAAAATGACGGTATAACAAAAAAAAAATATGTTCGTTTTTTTTACATATAACTCATGTACTTATTTTCAAATTTAAAATTTCTTCCTTCTTACCACTTTTCTAAAAAAATTTTGAAAAAAATGTTTATTAGTTTCACTCTGTCCGTTCGTCCGTGGACATGTTTACAAAACTTCTACACCCTTGAAGATAGAATGCTCTAGAAAGACATAGATCTTTACTAGAAATTTATTTCCGTAATAGAAAATTTTTACCTATCTCCCCCCCTTTAAAATGACAAGCCACCCAAAACCCTATAAATGCTATTTTTTAACTATTTGTTGCAGCGAAACCATAAGCATTTTTCAAATTTTCTAAACATAGAACAGTTGTGGTTTATTTCTTTTACCGTGGCATACAATATTTGAACTTTGAAAAAAGGGATATGACAATTGAAATATACCATTATCTAAATTCTGCTTTTTCTAGATTTTTGATGTCGGTTTTCTTCTAAACCGAGCTCTAATTCCTCTAATTCTTGAGTCATAAGAGTCTGAAATTTTAGTAGTTTTAAAACACTAATAAATAGCTCATTTCGTTGGAAGAAAATTTTTTCGCGTCTCCGTTCCATTCTAAGGTGCATCGACACGCGCAGTTTGTGAAATTCGAATTTTTGGCACCTTATATTTCCGAAGCGGCAAGCTTTTCTAAATTCATATAAATGCAGAAAACTAACGGTAAATGCCATGCCATTAAAAAAATATGATTATTGTTCTTAACTCACGTAATTAACCCTTAAATTTGAGCATTATATTATTGCCATTATTTCAATTTTTTTCCATTTTATTTTTTCTCATCCTAAATGTAGACAATTTTTTAAATATATTCGCATATAAGTGAAAGTAATATTAATAATGTAGTGTATATTTATAGATTGTTTTTAAAAAGCTATATTTTCACTTGCTGAAGGGAAAAATGCTACATTACAAACCATTGGTTTGACTCAATTTTATTTTGATATTTCTGGTTTTAAGCGAGGGCGCGAAATAGGTTTTTACATTTTGTATTCTGAAATTTATTCTTTTCCTGTGTTTCTTTTCGCTTTCCTTTTTGTCTTTTCTCTATAGTTAGTGTATTGTGTTTTAATTAAAATGTGCAAATGTATTTGCGAAAATTTTCTTATAACAATTTCTTATTTAAATAATATACAGTATATCACACCTATATGATATTAGAATAAAATACAACTGTGCATAACATTAAAATATCTTTTAAAAATAAATTAGTAGAGTAGCATAAGATGCAATGGATACGAACGTATCAAGATAATATTTTTTATAAAAGAATATAAGAATTTATAAAAAGTAATTAAATAAAACTTTGCATTGAAATGAAGAGCTGTGATTAAGCTTATTAAGCGAGACATTATCTAAAATCGATGGTGAAAATGCCAGAAGGGTGGATTATCTTTTTTCTCTGTAGGAATTACTGTAACGAAGAGGAGAAGGGGATGTTGACCCATATCCCTTTTCCTTATTAATTTTTTACGAACTATACGAAATTATTGTAAAAGTAAACCTCTGTCGGTTTTTAAGGTGACACAAATTTCTTATCTCTTATTGCCTATAAATGCAGATGTGTCGTCATTTACAAAATCGTAGGCGAACGTGATGTGATTTGAAATGATTATCAAACCCTTGACATATACGGAGGAACGACCCTAGCATATCAGTTAAAATTTTTCAATTATTAATTTTCACAGTATCGCTAATAAGTATAACTATAGATATAAGTATAGTCCTTTGAAAAGTGCATCGTCCACAATTTAAAATTAGAATTAAAAAAAAATGTAATGAAGACATATTTATAATTTTATTTGATTTTTCCACAATTTTTATTTGATTTTTGTAATTGTTATTTTAATTTTTTTTTTGCAATTTTTCAATTTTTTTTTTTGTTTGTTGTCTTTTTATAATTTTTTTTTTGTAGTTTTTTTTTTTACTATTTTATTTTTGAAACATAGTTTATTTCTCTTTAACCAAACATATACAATTATTTATTTTGTTTTTTTTTTCTTATTTTTATTATTTATATATTTGATTTTTTTGTTTTATTATTTTTTATTTTTTTAAATATTTCAAATTCCGGATTAAATATTAAAAGTATCCTACAAATTTTTTGCTCTTTTTTTTATTTAAATATTTTTTCTCTGGATTCTCTCTATCTTTCTGGTTATGATTATGGATCACTTAGTGAATATAGCCTTCTCAATATAAATGGACTAGAAGGGCCAATATATGAGATAATGATAGGTAAAAGAGGAAAGGGTGGGAAATTCTACTTATATAATGTAACTTTATTTAATTCCTTATAAATACTAAAATATTTCAATAGTGTAAATGAAAAATGTTATTATTTTCAAAAAAAAAAAAGAAAGAGAGAGGGAGAAGGCAAAAATTTGCAACTAATTTACATTGCAATAAACTATGCATACTGCAGCACCGGATCAAAAGCATATATTTGCAAATTAAGCATTGCGATGGCCGCCGGATATTGCAGGGTCGCTATTTAAAACTTAAAAAAATAATTTGATTAAATTAATTCAATTTTTTCCCCATTGAGTGTGTTTTTTAAAAATCTATGTTTTCTTTTTATTTACAGTCAAATTAATTTGATAACATTGTACCTGCATATAAAAATTTAATTTCAAAGGCTTTATTTTCTACATAACTTAAATTTTGCATGTGGTCAGCACATAACTGGCTGCAATTGTATATTGTCTAGATTAGTAAAATTATTCCAGAAGATTATGAAACACTCTTTTACAATTTTGAGGACACTAATAAGATTTTAGTTAACATACATAGAAAAATATGAATTTGGTTGTTATTAAAGTTTCAATTTGTGCCGTCCGCATTATACGAAAAGTTCGTCAGTAACTTTTGGTAACAATCAGCGCTCACATATTAAATTTCAAAAAATTCCATTAATTTGTTCAGTAAATATGTCCAAAAATGTAAAATCGGCCCCTAGATCAGTTTTCGACCCGTGATATTTCCAAAAAATTTACAGAAATCGGTTAATTATTTTTCGTTATATACCCAAAAATGTATGTCTGTCCAGTTGCTGACATCTGATTTCTTCCAAAAGTTAAGAGGTTTCGTGTACGGTCGAATGATGCTTATATATAAAATTTAAAGTAAATCGGTTGAATATTGTTTTCAAAATGATCAAAAATGTAAAACTGGACCGCTAAAAATTCCAGTTCCCGAGGCCTGATATATCTTAAAAGTTGATAAATTGGTGCCATAATCGAAATAAACTTACATATAAAATTTCATCAAAATCGTTTCAGTCGAGATACACTTGAGATACACGCGTGCACACACAGACCTACCTAAAATAGTTTAATTACGCTTCCCTACCATGGAGAAGTGCGTTCCCACCCAAAACTCGATATGCAAAATTTGTTTCCATCACATAACCTACCATATTGTATACATAATGCGGTCGGTAAAAAAATAAGAAAAAAAGTGCTGTTTTTAGAAACAGAAACGGTATAGGGAGCCGAATAAGCCGGAGTCAGACCTGTGTAATGCTGCATATACATTATATATAAATAACAAAAAATAATAGAGTATAAATATAATCTAAATTTAAATTTCCGTTTTAAAATATGAAGTGCATGATAGACTTTAGAAATTGACAAGTCATCGTATTGAATTATATATAGAGAATAATATAGAAAAAGATAGAAAGAGAGATAGAGGAGAAAGAATATAAAAGAGAATAAATTCTCAAAATTCTTATTTTTTAAATCCGGAAATTGAATATTGCAAATGAAATTTGTTTTTTTATTTTTTTTTTCTTTTCCTTTATCTAATTTATTAATTTTACATAATATATATTAATATATATATATATATATATTTATATTTTTGCTGTATATATACTTAGATATATATATATGTATGTATAATTTTTATATATACATATAATTTTTTCCTTATTATATATATTTTGAATAAACGATGAGAGATGATCCATTGATTTAATTTTATAGTTTTTTAAAATTTAATTTAATTTAATTTAATTTTTTTTTGTTTCTTTAATATTTAGTTTTTTTCTTGTTTCTGTTTTCATATATATTTTCATATATATTTCAATATATATATGTATATATATATATATATATATATATATATATATATATATATCATTTTTAATATTATTTTAATAATTATTTTTAATAATTAATTATATGAAAATTGAATTTAATAATTGAAAATAATATTTATAATAATTAATAATAATATAATTATATAATAATAAAATTTAATATACACACTTACAAAAAAAAAAATTAAAAAATTAAAAAAAAAACCCCCGAAAAGGGAGAAATCTACACTTTTTTTTTTTTAATTTTAATTTAATTTTTTGTTTTTAATACCAATATCACTGAAGCCTGGACCAGTATTGATGTGATGACATTGGATCATCGGGTTGACCTGAAACAGCAACTGGAACTGATACTCCTGGTGATATTAATCCTATAAAATTTAAATATTACAAAAGAATAGAAGAGGGAAATGAAATAAATAGTTATTTCTTTTTTGTGGAAATATTTTGAGGATGAAAAAAAAATATGATCTAGGATAGTTCTGTTTCGACACAGTGCGGCCCATTCAACTTCAAAATGTGGCGCATCATACTTCCTTGCAACAGAAAAAAATATATGCTATTGCGACTATTAAAATTTTTCAAAAAAGTTTTGAAAATTTAATCGTAGATGACAGATATAGGTACATGAAATTCCATACAAATTTATTGTTTGTCAAAACAAAACAATGAATAAAGTCAGTTGAAAATGTCATTTGTCTTGTAAGTAGGTAATTTAGGAAACTCGAGTGGCCTATACTCATACTCACATACTACATATTTGCCCATAATCCACAAAAGTTTGCCAAAAGAATAAATTATACACACATTCTCTACTGACTTCTTCTTCTTAAATGGCACTACAGCTCGGGTTGAGCCTTGGCCTTCTCAACAATTCTCCTCCAATCGGAAAGCTGATGAGCCATTTTTCAACGCCAATTTTCCTCGCATCATTTTCGATGTTGTCCTTCCATCTTAACCTTGGTCTACCTCTTGCTCTAGTGTAAGTTGGTCTACTTTTGAAAATTTTTAATGGAAACCGTTTTTCATGCATTCGTGTTAAGTGACCTGTACATCTCAATTTTTGGGCCTTTACAATTCTTACTATATTTTTTCCACCTATGATTTCGTTTATTTTCTCTTTGCTTCTTCTTTGGTATTCATTGTTTTCTGATTTTCTTGCCCCAAGTATTTTCCTAATTACTTTTCTTTCAAATACCCTTAGGCACCTATCATCACTCGAGTTCAAAGTCCAATTTTCACAACCATAAGTTACAACAAATCTTATTATGGTTTTATAAATTAAGTTTAGCATGTCTTGTGAGAAATCTGGACATCTATACTGGTCTGAGTCATTCTATACTGATAGGTCTTGTTATTTTAAAAAGTAGTTCTGATTCGTACACACACTCTACTGACAGAGCCCCTTTTTTTAAAGCAGTGCCTCTGTTACTTTATGACAAAATTATTTTTGGAAATGTTGATCATCACATTTTACCAAAAATAATTTGCGCAATAAATTGAATAAATTCTGTATGATTTATGTATATATATATACATATATAATTTTTCAGAATTCTCTGTATGACAACTATACTTGAACCGGTAATTCAACTAAAAAAATAATTCATTTAAAACTATGTAAGAGCACGTTTAGTGATTTAAGTAACCTTGTATGAATCTTAGTTGAATGCGCGTTTTTGAATTGTCACTGTGAATTTCAAACCTTCAGTTACATATACAGGGAAAATTATATTTTTTTTTTCAATATATTTATTCAATATTACTCACCGGTACTATTATTACTTGTTCCTGAATAATTTGGTACATTTATCATTTGAAAGTTAGATGGTGTACTTGGTGAATGTCTTGCATTTGCAATAACATTTCCATTACCATTATTATTATTATTTGTTGATGTATCATCTGTATTTGTTAATTGTATACTGGTACCGGTATTACCACCATTATTACCATTTGGATTATGATGATGTGTTAGATTTTGTGTTGAATATGGACTTAATCCTAATGTATCGTATGTTGAAGCAGCAGCAGCAGCAGCAGCTGCTGCAGCAGCTATATGATGATGATGATGGTGGTGATGATGATGTTGCTGCTGCTGTTGTTGTTGATGATGATGTTGTTGCTGTTGATGATGTTGTTGTTGCTGTGATGCACCAGTTATATGTATTGAATTATCATTATCATCATTTGAACTATTTGGATTTGAATTTCCACCACCACCAGCTGATGGTGTTATTTGACCTCTTGATATTTGACATTGATATGGTGATGGTGGTGTTAAATCACGTTGTTGTTGTTGTTGCTGCTGTTGCTGTTGTTGTTGTTGTTGCTGCTGTAAACATATAGCTGATGGTGATGATGACGATGTTAAACCCGTTGGTACAATACCAGTTAAACCAGGTGATGATGATGATATCGATGATAAAGATGGATGTGTAAAAGATGATATTGATGTCATTGAACTATATGAATCAGTTATTGACATCGGTGAATGATGTATTGAAGAATACATTGCACTCATACTACTACCAAAACCACTATTTAAACCTAAACGTGGTGATAAAGATGGCATCATTGAAGTTAAATGCTGATGTGCATGTGGATGTGTATGAGGATGTGCATGTGGATGAGCATGCGGATGTCCTAATCCAGTTGTACCAGTTGTATTACCTAATAATGATGTTGGACTATTATGTGATGCTATACAACCGACACTTATTAAACCGGCAGCTGTTGCTTGTAAATGATCTGGTGAACCGGTACTACCATGATGTGGTGGTGTTAACCCTGAATTCGAAGCTAATATAAAATATTTATATTAAATAATTAAAATATACAATGTATATATAATATATATGTATGTATATATGTATATATACAAAATATATATATAAGTTTAAATATTATATATACATAAATATATTAATTAAAATATTTTAATTTTTATTTTTTATTTAAAAAAAAACAGTTTTAAAGAAATTTGAAATACCTGTTCCAGTTGGTGTACTAGCATTACCATTACCGCCGCTTAAACTGTTACTACCTAAATTAGGTGTTTGCCTTTGATTACGTAATTTTTCTTCACGTCGCCATTTTGCTCGACGATTTGAAAACCATACCTGTATTCTAGCTTCTGGTAAACCAATTTTTGCAGCTAAACGTTCACGTGCGAATACATCAGGATAATGAGTTCTTTCAAATTCTATATATTGGATTGAGTGCATTTGCAATTTTTTTTTAATTGTTTATGTAATTTTAAGTAAATTTTTCAATTAAATCAAAATACGAATAATATTATAAACTTTTTCAAAGATTCTGAGTTAAGTGCAATATATGAATCCAATATATTAAATTCAATTCAATAAATATGGAATGCCCTTAGTCTGTCTATAATGCCTCTTATTTCAAACTAAATTAGAAGTACCCATCTTATTTTTTAAATAACAGGGAAATGTTAGAACAATTAATAAATTTAAAAACTGAATCCTTCTCAGAACATTTGAAAATTTATTCATAATTTAATAAAAACAATTTTAAATTGATTATACCTTTCTCAAGACTATCTATTTGATCATTTGTAAATGATGTACGATTTCTTTGTAATTTACGTTTTAAACGTAATCTAGCTTGATCATCATCGCTCACACCTAAATTAGAGCCACCATTAGAATTTTCACCTTCACCAGATCCCGTTTCATCTGAATGATGTCCATCTAATTCTTTATTTTGGTTTTAAGAGATGAAAAATAAAAATAAGAGAGAGCGAGAAAGAATATTTTGCTTTTTTTATTAATTTAATAAATTTAATTTTTTTATTGTGGTTTTAAACTGATTTGAAGGTATGTTGGAATATCAGCATTCGATAAGGTTTGGGCTAATTGAAGAATTAAACATTTTGGTTAACTTAAGCTTTTAATTGATTATTGACACAAATACCATAAAAATTAACTATGTAATTGTAGATCTTTGTTAGAACTGCCCAATTCTGAATTTAACCCTATACTACGAATAGTTTGTTTCGAACTCCCGAATCTATTTATATTTAGATCTTCGTATATATGGCGAACCATTCACTTTCTTTTGAAGAAAAGGTATGTGGACAAAAGGGGTTAACCAACATTTTGACGGAAATCGAGTTTTTCTGATAGAACATCATTAAATTTCATATATTTTCAATAAAAAATTAATAGTTTTAAAATTTGTTAATGAAAAAATGTGCTACAATCACTTACTTATTCCCCTTTGTCCACTTACCGCTTCATTATATCGCTCTCATATATTCTTTTATATAGGTATAGAGAATTTATGTCTCCGTCACGGCTTTAAAATTTTCTCAGATATAGAGGGAAGGAAACCTATATAAATCGTTGTTCTCTTAGGTTAAGATATAGAGAGGGATTTGCGCTTTCTTACACAGTATTAAATTGTCCGCACATATACACATATAGTGTAAATTTCGTTATAAAACAAATAAAAAAAAATTTGAGAAAGTAATATTCAAAAAAAAAAAAAATACTATTGTTATTTTGTTTTCTAAGGAGAAAGACCAAAAAAAAATAGAACGCTTATGTTTTTTATTGCCAATTTACTGGTTTCTTAAAAGCTAAATCAGAGAACATTGGATACAAAAAACAAAAGCAACAAAAAAAAGGAAATCAGTTTACACTTTTACTCTTATTTTTTTTTGTTAAATTTTTATAACATTCTTATATATGCATATATATGTACGCAAAATACAATATTACATAATATTTTAAATTCTATGCACGTGCTCTTTCTCTTTATAGTCAAAAGAAAAATTGTATTGTATACGCGTTTATATTCTTGGGGTAAATGTCTAGATATCTCAGCAGTTGAAAAAAAAACTCAACTGGAATGGACAAAAATTATTAACAGAGAAGAGAGTACATATATAGAAAAAAAAATAACAAAAAATAATAATAAAAACAAATAAATAAATAAAAAAAAAATTGTTCAGTCATTCTTTAAAATGTTTATTCGTGCGTGTAACTCTCATTTGGTATTAAAACTCTCAACTCAATGCTGGAATTTAAGTTGGTAATATTTTTTCAATATTCAAAAAATAAAAAAAATAAAAAACTCATGCACCCAAAAACAAGTAAAAAAATATTTTATATATATATATATATATGCGTACATACATATAAAAATACCAAAATAAAAAATTAAATATTAAAATGTTTAACAGGGTCAGATTCAGGAGTAAATATGTGTATCTTTAAATTGAAGCTTGATTTTCGAAAGCGAAATCATATTGACTGAAACTAGATTAGATTAAATATGGGTTAACAATGCATCGCAACCCAATGCACTATCCTTCTAACAAATTCGAGTATCTTGACTCAGACTATATATTTGACTATAATATGATATATTGAGTTCAAAGACTATATAAAAGATGCGGAATATATTTTGGAAAATATTCTACGAAATCAAACAGTTTTATGTTATGTGATTTAACTACAATACTCAACTAATCCTGTGTATAACAGTTGTAACTTACTAATATTTTGTAACAATTTAACAATAATGTAAAATCAAAAATGATTTTAAAAATTTTTATGACCACAAATATATAGCACATTTTTTATCATAATATATCGCGATATACTGTGTTTATGAGAAGGCTTTATATTTAATTATACAATGCCTTTATTAGCGGTCGCGATTTACCTACAATGTAACAGTGTATAACATTTATTTTAAAGTCAAAAACTCCTATATATGGGTTTTCTTTTTGATTTTGAGAAATGAAGTGTTATTAGAACAAGAAATCGTTGTTAATTATTGATTGTGAACTGGCAACTTTTTTTTTTTAATTTAAATCCGTAGAAAATAAATTTAAAATTTCATCATTCTATTCAAATGTGTTTTTTTGTAAAAATTTTGCTTGAAAAAAAAAAGTTCGAAGATATTGCATGTGAAACCTCTAGTTGTTAGGTCTGTTTAAAAGGAGTGGGTCTCGATGATGTTTTGGGCATGAGAATAGACAGTCGTTGAACGGGCAGGGGTACAAATTTATCTTTTAGGTCACGATGCATAATCGTTCCAAGCTACAATCAAATCTAATTTAATCTAATATATTAAATAAGAATTTGTTCAAAAATAAGTTAACAATTAAAAATTGAGGACTAATAATAAGACTCATTTCTCAACTACATATATAGAAATACCTTATAATTGCAATAAATTTTTATTTAATCCGATACTGTTGTAATTTTAGGTTAATTTTCAATTCAAAAATATTTTTAATACACAATTTATTTATGCATATATTTATTTAATTTATTTTTTTTTCTGGTATTTTTCGGTATTATTTTAAGCATTGATTTCAATAATCGATACTTTTGTGCTACAATTTCACTAGGTTTTTTTTTTTAGAATGAAATTTAAAAAAAAAAAAAAACTAAAAAGGGATCTTAAATAAGATTTTTATGTATATATCGAGAGAAGGAGAGAAAGAGATAAAACTATAAGCATATTATATAGAATGCTATATTCCGCACATACAATAATTCTCTATAAACCGGAATTGAGAATAGAAAATTGCAATATATATATATATATATATATAGAGGCATTGTTCTAACGCATTAAAATATGCAAAAAAAAAGTATAAATAAAATTAAAAAAAAATGGAAAATTATGATTGTGTAATGATAATAGTCAATGATTATTGATGATAATGTTGATTATTATTATTATTATTATTATGGTGATTGGTTGAGGACGACGACAATATAATACGGAGACGATGACAACAACAACAAGAACAACAATAATATCATAAGTAGAATTCAAAAAAAAAAAAACAATAATAACAATAATTTTCAATTTTCACAATTTTAATTTTCATTTTTCGGCTTGAATTATTTTTGGAATTTTTTTTTCATGTTTTTCTTTTTTATATTAATCTATATACTTACATTATGTAAATATATTTACATATTATATATATTCTATGATAATTCTATATTATATGCGATTAAATAGAATAAAAATTTAATGAATTTAAAAATTGAAATTTTAGTATAAAATTAATAATTTCAAATTATTGAGTCGCTCTCAGACCATTATTATTGGTCTATTTCACAAGAATTGTTAGAAAATTTTCAAGATAAATGCCATGATATTTTAGAAGTTTTTCTTTTAAAATATATTAAAGCAATTTATTATAATAAAGAGAGAATTTAAGAAGAATAAAAATCGCTGCTCACCCAAATAATGCACGAAACGAAAAAAAATATGAGAAATAAAATCGGGAACATACATCGTGTACGCATTTATAGTTCAATTCCCGTTCGACTGAAATATATAGATGATCAACGAGATGATGAAAAATTAGAAATGAATTGTATATACGCAAATTGTATATAAAAAACTGATCAAGTCCAATCGAATGAAATAGACAATAAAACGAGGAGCAACACTGGAAACTGAATTGTGTACTCAAAATGTATACTAAAGTCAAGTCTGTTCGACTGAAATTATACAATTATCGAAAAGTAAAATTGGAATACGTAAAATGTGCGCATTCTGACCCAAAACTCGTTCGTTTAAAAAAATCTTGTTTATCTATTGATGAGAGCCCGGCCAATTGATAAAACAAAAAAAAACAACCTCAGTTAGAAATTACCATTAAAATATACACACACACACACACTACTTGTACATATATGTATTATATATGAAAGCCGACGTCGATTATAATTTTCATTATTCATTATCAATTGATTTAAATAATGTGTATAAGCATATCTAACGATACACAGCATTCCAAATTTTCATAACAAAATAAAAAAAAAAAAATTATAAATATTTCCTATTTATTTAATCTATATAGTTTTCTGGTTCGATTCTCTCCATTTATTCAATCCGATTCAACTTGAATTTAAAATAAAATCAAACAAGAAAAAAACAAAAACGTACGTACGTACGTTCTGCTCAAAAATGCGTTCGAACATAAAAAAATAATAAAAAAAAAAGAAAAAGAGAGAAGGGGATTATGAAATAATAATTGAAGGACAATGTCCTTTTTATAATATCATCGTATTATTTTATTATTACACGTCGTATTTACAACGTGTTTAACAAGAAGTAGGTTTTTTTTTATGAAATTATGAAAATGGGGAATGATGACGAATATCAATTTATTGAATAAAAAAAAAGCTATGTATGAGATATTTATTTTTAAAAGAACTCAAAAATTTTGTTCTATACGCACATTATTATTAACATGTAAAAATGTCTTAAACGTTGACTTTAACCAATTGAATCGCATAACCTGCACCATGGCAGGTTAAATAAAAAACCATGAAAAATAATTTATTTTTATATTAAATTAGTTTTTAATTTTTATAAAATAGCTATACCTGAACAATAGTTGTTTGAAATTAGTTCAATGTTGAAATTTAGCAGTCATATATCCTTGACAGAAACTAAACAACGATTTCTGAAAGTTGGGTTGATTTTTGCCCTCTTTGATGGACGGATGGCAGGCAAATAATCGAATGGACTGACGGATGGCAGACCCCGAAAGAAAAATCGAACAAACGAACAAATCTTACACTCAATACAGAATTTCGGGATGAATTACTTTAAAGGGATTTTTGCTTTTAAGGAACACAGCGTTGAAAGTTCTATATTAGAATTAAAATTTCTAAGCCGCAGTAACCAAAAACTTCAGCTAATTTTTTTT